GACAAACACTGGGAGAGTGTCTAATTTTTAATTTGTTATGGAAAACGGCAGTCTCAAATTTAAAAAGAGAGGACTAGATAATGCATTGTAAAAGGAAGTTCAATTTTTCTTTCTCAGCTTTTAACACTTAAAATTTAAAGAACTTCAAGTAATAGGGAAACTGGACTAGAACTAGACAAGAAGTGTTCCTCAGACTTGGTCAGCTCTGAAGAGATGCACTCGATGACCACAGTATCAAAGCTGTCATCTTATTGTAATAAATCATCCCAGGGACTTTCTTTCATTCTCTGATATTTCATACATTGTGCAGGATTTTGTCTCTGAATTGCAGAATCAGACAGCTTTTTCAGTGATCTCTAACCCCTATCATACTGTGGCTGATCTCCTTTATATCTTCATATCTTCTTTCCTTCCTCTTTACCTTTCCTCAATTTGCCTTTAGCTACTTTCTTCTCCACCATCACTAGACCTGCCTGCCATTCCCCACTCCCCAGGACCCACTACCTGGAGGTTCCACTCAAGTGCCCCAATAATACATCAGTTCAATGGAAGCCCAAGGAGTTTCTTGCTGGTTGTGACCCTTGGACTCTCAGAAAAAAACTTCAAGGATAGCCCTTGGGTCTGTACCTGTTCAGTAATGCCTAGCAAAATACTGGGCTTCTTTGATCAAACCATGTCTATGGGCTGGGCCAGAGTACCAAAAGCAGAGCGCCAGAACACAGGTGGCAAACAGACACGCAAGCCTGTGTCTATTACAAAGACATGCAAAATTACCTAGGTTTTATCCATCCTTTCACGCCCACCCTGAATCTCTGCAGGATTCTTCCCAAATGTTCAGAATCTACAAAAGAATCAGCCAAGCAATGGAGGTATGGGTTATAACAGGGCACAAAGTACTGTTTCCCATATGTTTCCACTAAGAGAAAGGAAGAGAGAGGGAACTTTCACTGCCATCTGACTTCTAACACAAGTCAGAACCCTCTCTGTGCCTCAAGAGAGACTTCACATCGGTCCAGTGCCATGCATTTTGCCTTGGGGCTCTGAACATTAGGCTGTCCTCTGTGCCTGGGGTTCTTAGGTTCTTAAGGACATTATAATGTAGACTCATCCACAGGCCCAGGTTCCCACAGGAAAGTATTTTTAAGTTCACCTTCTCTTCATACCCAGAGGTCAACAGCAGCTACCAGCAGAGGTTAGCAAGGCAAGAAACTCAAAGCTGTTTCCAGGTTACCCACAGGGAATGTTATCAAGGTGATTCCATGTTCCCACTGTACGAAGTCTGCGTGCTCTTTTAATTCAGGGAACAAGTCATCAGTATTTCCACTCAGAGTCAATTTCCAGTCTCCCAAATTACCTTAGGCATTTTAGGAATTAAATTATTTCCCTCCCATATCAGAATTTAGGAACTGGGGTACAAAGCACTATCAAATTATTAAATCTGTAGATCGTTTCCACAGTTAATTTAATTCTTGGTGTCTGCAGATATATGCATTATCTTCCTTTGCCTAAAACCACTTCAGGAAGGCCACAAGATCATGGAAACATGAACTCATCTTTGGCCATAGCTTATTCACTTCTCTCCATGGAAATTAAAAGGCAAGGGAGAAAAAACAAGCTAATGGGTCTTTCATACCTGCAAGTGTTTGGTCAGGCTGCACCTACAGACATTTATTACTAACCCATCAATAGTAGACCCCCAAAGGATTAAGAATTAGGGAACAAATATCTCCAACCATTACTGAAGAACTTATGAACTAACAAAACATTGAATGTGAATTTTTTTACAGTGCCTGGGCTTGAGGATGTTGTGGATAGAGATGCAGAGAATGGATCCTTTCTCCATCCATTGTCATTTTTCCTAAATCTGGACAAGATGAATGATTTCCTTGGCTGTAAACAGCAGTTAAAGATAATATACCAAAATCAACTACAAAGGGAAAGAGCAGTTTTATTTCTGATCTTAATTAAAGACAAATGTAGCATGTGCTCAGCAAATGGCACAATGTGACATTCTGGAGGCAAGGATTGGGCATACAGCAGTTAAAGAAAAAGACAAAACTTCTGCCCTGGTGGGGCTTACACTCCAGTTCCTACGGATCTTTTTATCTTCTCAAGGTAGCCCACCTCCTTCCATTCTTACCAGGGCCTTCCCTCCAAGGTCCGCTGCCAATGGTCTAAGTCACTCTGAAAACAAAAGATATTCCTGCTGAGAAGTCTCCCACCTCCACCCTTCCCTTCAAACCTTTTTAGGCTCCAAACCTGCAGATAGCAGCCCACCAGTGTCCCAGCACTGAGGCAAGGGAAAGGCCTATCCCAAAGAAGTTACTGGCAGGTCCTTTTCCCACCTGAGATGGGGTAAGGAGAGGGTCTGCTCCTGCTGAGGATGGGGGAGAGGGAAGGCGCTGGGTAAAAAAGAGAAAAAAAACGGGCAGTGATGCGGGCGGTCTGCCTTCCTTGGAGGCAGCCAACACTCCTTTGTCAAAGCCCCATCCCTAGGTTGCCTGCCCAGGAGATCCACAACCCCCTCCCTCTTCTCACCAGGCTGGAGAGAGATGCACATTCTGGAGCTAGCAGGCTAAGGCAAAGAGTGCCACAGCCATTATAGTCCCAGCGGCTGGATGTTCACACCCCCTTGCCCTGCGAACTCCCTAGAGGCAGAAATGCACCTCCTGTACATTCAACCCAAGAAAAAACGAGTGCCAAAAAACTACATGCGCAAGAGCTGAGAGAAAATTTAGCAGTCCATTCAGATCAGCCTCTTTTTATAGGCAAAGAAGATCCAAACCGCAGCCCCTCACCTGGTCATGTGTAAGTGGCAGCAGGGCCCAGTATGTTGCCCAATTTTCTTCTCTGCTCTCTGAACAATATCCCTGTCAACAGTTCATTGGAACTTCCCAGACTAACATGAGAACCGCCCCCCACCCCCAGCACCTAGGCTGGGGAATCTGGGGGAGGGGGGAGGGGAGATAGGAGGATGCTGCAGAACCAGGGTGGAGGAAGCCATCGGGGTCTGGGGAGGAGGACAGCTGGTTGAGGTGAGTGTTGCTGCAAATCTGGAGGTGTCTGGGCTGCATCAGGGTCACGGGTTTGGTAGTAGCTGTGTGACTTCAATCCTGCGGGACAGCACACCTGTGCAGTCTCTAAGATGGAACTGGGTGATGGCTGGGCACCTTGACGCTGGAGTGTCTTAGTGGCCTCCCTTAGACTCTGCAGCCAAACTGGGCCCCCACCTCAACTCGCCTGGGCTTATCTCACTCAAAAAATAGGTCTTCTCCTCTTGCCCTGCCCATCTCCAGAGTTCAAACGAGGATGACATTCATTGTTCGTGTCTTTTATCACTAGCCAAATCGCTGCCTCTTTACCTGGCTGCTATCTTGGCCCAGCCCACTCCCCAGCTCCAGGTCCAAGGAACTATAAACTCCCAGGGCTAGAGTGAGCAAATCCCCTAGAGGGAGGCTCATCTCTGGGAAAGAATCCATTCCCCACCCCACTCCCAACTCAAACACGCAGTAAACGTCAGTCTAATCTCCAAATGATCATTCTCCAAATACAAGAATAACAGAACCGCCGATGGGTCTGTCATTTTGCCCGCCCCATTCTAAATGCCTTCAAAACTGCCTGAATAAAGATAAGACAGGATTGTGTACGTTTTCTACACAAATGGTGGAAAGTAATAAAATAAACATCAAAGGTGAGCTTCCACGTACTCGCAGCTCCGTCGCTATTTCCAACAAAGGCAGGAAAAAGGAGGAAACCTCAACGTGGAAGGGCAGCGGGTTACAACTGCACCCTTCTGGGGCGGGGGAGGGAGGGGCGGTGGTCCATGGAGCCCCGTCCCTGGGGTATTGACACCGCGTAGGCCCAACCGTCCTGCGGCAGAGAAAGGTCCCCCCTTTCCCGACGGTCCGAAACCACAGCAAAAGCCCTCAAGGGGAAAAATTGGGAAGAAATGGTCGTAAACACATCGTGCTCTCGGCCCCCGCCCCCGGGAACACACCCTCCCTTTCGTTCCTGTTGATAGTCGGAACCGGGAATAGCACGTCCCCCGCTTCGCCCGAGTCTGAAGGATTCCGCAGGGGTACACACGCAGGCAGAGCTCGGCACCCTGAGCCACACACAGCCGCCCCAGGGAAAGAGGGCAATACTGCTGTTCTTACCCAAGAGCCACCAGCCAGGTAAAGGAAAACAAAAGAAAAGTGAAAGTCAGAGGCCATTTAAGCAAGAGTCAAGGTCATTAAAAAAAAAAATTCACAATTTCAAGTCCAGTATTGAAAAAGAAAGAAAGAAAGAGAGAACGAAAGAAAGAAGGAAAGAAGGAAGAAGGAAGGGAAGGAGGGAGGGAGGGAGAGAGGGAGGCAAGGAGAAAGAAAGAAAAAAAAAGAGAAAAGTCCGCAAAAGGAAATCGTAGAAAGGTGCACAGCATGTGGCTCCCATAAAAGATCCCTGCAAAGTGTCCTGCGTGGTCACTGCTGTTCAGCACTTCGTCAGTAACGACAGGGGTTTGCTTTCGGAAGAAGCACGGTTTTCACTACACCGCGTGCAGTTTGGGAGAATTGCAGGCCTGAGCAAAGTCCCTGCTGCCCTGGACCCAGCCCTTCCAGGTGTCCCCTAGGATAGCTCGCCCCCTCCACTGCCCAAATCGCCTCCTTGAGCTCCAAGACGCAGGGACCCTCCCAAGCGGTCGGGCGGTCACACCTGAGGGAGGAGCGGGCGGGCGGGGCCCATACACAGGCACACTCACAGACACGCGTACACCCCCAGTCGCGCGCAGGCTTCCCATTGGCAGGAGGCGGAGGGCGGGGCCGGGCCGACCCAAAACAAACAACCTGCGCAGTGACTTTGAGGCCGCGCTGCCGCATGGCCTCTGCCTGGTGTGCGCCCTCCGGGGAGCCTCGGCCACCTAGGCCACCTAGTTCCCCCACCCCTCGGCCGTCGGCGCCCAGGCCCCGCCCCCTCGGAGCCGCCGCAGGGTTATATTGGGCCGGGGCGAAGGTGGAAGGGAGACGGAACAGCGGCCCGCCAGCGTGGAGATGCAGCTTCGGAGACCCGGAGCGGAAAGGCGGCTACTGGCGCCACGGCCTCGGGGACTCGGCTCCGCGGGCGCTCAAGGCTGAAGGCTCCATACCCTCCCCCAAGGGTGGCACGAACACCGGCTGGCACCATCTTCGTGCCCCGAAGATTCCTGCCCGGGACCTGGGAGCTCCAGTAAAGAACACCTCCTGGTCTCTTGAATGGATAGCAGATGCTCACGCTTCTTCCTCCAGCAAGAAGTCCCAAGCCCGGCACACTTGGGCATCAGAGGGTGGAACCGCACCCCTGTACGCATTCACCCCGAAGTCTCTCATCCTCGAACTGAAGACAGTACCCACCCAACTCCTCCCTCTCCGCCCCTCTTAGTTCACCCAATAAGCACAACTCCTCCAAAAAAAATTCCAGCGGAAGAAGACTCTTCAACGGAAAAGTGACTGTCTCTCGCAAGAGAAGGGAGAGCTCCCGGGAAAGAAAGGCGAGGACCCCTGGCCTCGAGATCTCCATTCCGGCCCCCGGCACCAGGTTCCCAAGGCCGCGCGAAGGAAAGGGTACGGCGCAGGGCAGGGACAGGGTGCGCGGGCATGAAGTTGGAGGTGTTCGGCCCCCGCGCGGCCCACGGGGACAAGCCAGGTAGTGATCTGGAGGGTGCAGGCGGCAGCAACGCGCCATCTCCGCTGTCGGCAGCTGGCGACGACTCCTTGGGCTCGGACGGGGACTGTGCGGCCAACAGCCCCGCGGCGGGCGGCGGCGCCGGGGAGCTGGCGGGCGG